GGCATCTCCAACTCTCCTCTGTCAATCAATTCTAAGAAGTCCTCCATCATGTCTAAGGCCAACAGGGACTGGCTAAACACAAGCCTAGGACAAATGAAAGATCACTTTAGTTTTCTTATGAAGTAAATCAAACCTGTAGAAAGCCTTACTCCCAAGAGCATTTATGAACATTTATTAACAATGTTATGGATATGTGCATAAGAGTTCAGCTAGGAGTTTAAGTATGAAACTCAGTACATACCAACTATTTGTACATGTATTTATCATGCAAGTGTATTAATATACACATGTTAGAACTCGAATGTGAGTATATGCTTCTGTATACATAAACCATCATTGTTAAACTTAAAGACTTACACTTTGTCACCAATGGAACAGCATTCACGCAAAATATCTAGGAGAAGGATCAACTTCCCGCCATGTTCTAAGGAATCCAGATAGTCTTCATCCTTAGATTCCTCATTATATTCTTCAACTAATTTCTTCCACCAGTCTACACGGACCTTCCCACTCTCTGTCAAGCCTGGGATGGGGCCTGTAGTCAAGCATGAAAAAAAATGTGAAGGGATTTACTTAGCCTGAATTATTAAAAACAAAAAAAAGGACAATAATTTCTCTAAGATAGCAGTCAACTTCCCCTCCAATACTTGAATTTAGGTTTGGTATGAATACAATTCTTACAAAACATAAAACAAACATTCATAAGCCAAGAAAATCTGGAATGTAATTTCCCATCTGTCCTAAGGAAAGTCTTACCAGGTTTCTCAATCTCATCTTTGTTAACCTCTTCCTCTTCAACAGACTCTTCATCTTCCTCATTCTTTTTCTTCTTCTTCTTCTTTTTCTTTTTTGCCCTTTCATCTTCAGAGGATTCTTCTTCAGTTGTATCATCACAGATGAAGTCAGCCAACTCATCATCATCATCTTGGAACTAAGAAAAGCATTGAATGGTAACATGATCAGTCCATCTTATATTTCCTGGCTTATAATGATCAAAACAAAATTCAGGAAATAAATCATCTACCCCTTTACTTATGAAAACATGAACAGCTTAAGGAAAAACAAGCAATTCTAACTTACAATTGCTCTTCTCACAGCCAACTCAAGGACTTTAGGATGAGTCCAAACTCTTGACAGAGCACCAAAGTCCACAAAGAGCCCTGATCCTTGTCTCTTGGGTCCACCTTGGGCAAGATTGTCCAAGTAATACTGATAGAGTTTCTGTTGTAAGTCTGACAGTTGTATTGATATAACATACTCAAACTTTGGAGGCAGGAAAGGTTTAAGCACTGTGTAGTCAAACCGCTGCAAAACAGAGAAGTCTTGATTAGATTTCACAGATTCCTTTGACCTATCAATTGGGGGAGTATAGTGAGAAATGAAAGAAAAAAAGAAAGAATGAGAGAAAGAAAAAGAAAAAGGAAGGAAGAATAAAAGAAAATGCGCGCACGCACACACACGCACACACACACACACACACACACACACACACACAGAGCGAGCCTATCTTGTCAAAACTCAAAATTCCCTAAAAACTGTTATAATCTTAATACTAAGGGAACTATCACCATCATATCTGGGTACCCTTAATATGAGAGCTAAACATTTTTTTTTTCTGGTTGGTATTATTATAAGACATGTTATATCTCAAGTTTGGTTTCACTTGGTGAATAAATACCTAAAATAAAAAAATAAAATGTAATTTGTCTTGAAAGGAAAACTGCCACAGTAAGAAACGTAATTGAAATGTAACGTTTCGAACTCTTCACGAGTTCCTCTTCAGACAACTGAAAAACCAAAAGTGGATAGAAGGAGAGAATTTTGAGAAGAATATATAGTGATCGAGAGACATACTGAGCAAGAGGAGAATCAGGTCTCAGGAGGAGGGTCAAGGTCGAAGAGTCTAGGAAAGGCTCTGCTAACAAGCGAAGAGGTAAGGTCATCCAAGCCCCATTGTCCAGCACTCAAGTTAAAGTTAGGCATTTTTCTAATTAATAAAGATTCCATCATTTTCCTTTCACATGAATTAGCTGATTTGTGAATCAATTTAGCATTTTTCCAGTTAAGCTGGTGACTTTCATCCCGCAAATGAACGAAACACGCATCTGAATCTCTAGCATATCTAACATCGCGTTTATGTTCATTAATTCTTTTCTCGAAAGCCCTACCAGTCTCGCCTATATAAAACTTGGGGCAATCCTTACAGGGTATAGTATAAATACCGGGAGAAGTCTCAAGACCACCGCTCGTGTGTTCACATTACTGTGTTTGTGTTTGTGTAATTTGTCTTGTTTGATGCACCATACTGTCAGACTCCCTTATTAAACAATGAAAGTCAAAGTAAAAAAATCAGTGACACATTGCACTAATGATTTTTTTTTAATTCCTTTTATAAGTTCCATTATTTGAGTTTCAATCCCCCCCATCCCCAAATATGTGTCAATGTTATGAAGAAGAAGAAAGACAGAAGAGAGAGAGAGAGAGAGAGAGAGAGAAAAAA